TATAATCCATTTCAGCAGATATACAGAAGAGGTCTGTGGTTTGAAATGTTAATATATTGGCAAAGGTAAGCTGCACCACGTGTCATATATTTCCCCCGCTTATCAAATAAATTTCTTATTAGTTTATAAAACAACTTAGTAGATATGTAGATGTTTTTTTGCCTTATCCATGGGCAATCACTGGTCTTCCTCACTTCTTCCCTCCTCTCATCTCTCAGATATGGTCGGAGGTCTGGCAGCTTCCTCTGCCATGCTCTCTCCTGTGGTGCAGACTGTGCTGCAGATGGGCTTTGAAGCCAGCCTAGTGGAGAGCCTGGTCCAAACCAAGTACCTTTTAACAGGCCAGCACTACACCTCTGTATCTGACCTGGTCACTGACGTACTGCAGGCAGAGCAGGAGGACCGACAGAGGGGGCCACAGAGCAGAGGTAACAGCTAGTGACAGATTAATCGGTCAGCCGATTAATCAGGCTGATTAATTGGCATTTTGAGATAATCTGCATCAGCCGATGTTTGCACTTACAAGGCCAATAAACAAAAAATGTCACATCTGCAGGCAGCCTTTTCAGTGTGGCTGCTGTGGACCAATGTGAGCGCTCCTCCTTGTGAGTTTTGGGAAGGTGGTGAAAAAGTTGGTTTAGAGCCCTGTACTTTAACTCTAATGCATCTTGCTATAAACATATTCCTGAATTTCCTGTAGAATAGAATAGAACTATACATTTCTTTGTTTTGATATTGACATTATATTTGTGCCATTGGCATCCCTGCTCTTTAAATATCGACATTGGCCATTAAAAAACCCATATCGGTCGACCACTAGTAACAACCAACCAGAAATATCAAGGATTAGCATGCTGAACAAAGGAACAGTAACTTCTCTCCCAAGACCCTATCAGTTACTAATTTAACGTATGATTATATTTAAGGAGTGTGACTTCACTCAGTATGAGCAGTTTAATTTTCAAATAATAATAACTTAAATTACAATGGGTATCTAGGTTTATAATATGTTTGATTGTGTTTTCCCATGTTTGTGTCCTTCAGAGCCAGAGATGAGGCAGGGCTCCAGTGCTGGAAATGTGAGGACACAAACACCCATCAGAGAGAAAGGTCAGTGATCAACACCTTAATGATTTGCAACTTTTTGTGGTTACTTTTCATAATCAATCACACCATTGAGCTGTGGACATATGGTTCCTCTATAATGCAGCGATTACACTTAAAATACAACAGTTAGCTTGTACATAGTGTGGGTGTTTATTTGTGTGTGTCGTCCCCCAACAGTGAAGGACCCCAGTCCAGAGGAGCTGCTGAGGCAGCTGCAGGAGGAGAGGACCTGTAAGGTGTGCATGGACAAACTGGTGTCCATCGTCTTCATCCCCTGTGGTCATTTGGTGGTGTGTGGCGATTGTGCTGCCAGCCTGCGTCACTGCCCCATCTGCAGAGCTGTCATCAGAGGCAGTGTTCGAGCCTTCATGTCCTAAGGCTGGAGTGAAAGCCACTGCTATACAGGTGTTGCATGAGTGGCCTTTAGTTTTCTTCTGTACTCATTTCCCCTTGTACTGATAAGAAAATAAAGAGTTTTGCTGGTTGCTTTTTTTGTCAGAGTTTACAGATAATTTTCTATAATAAACATTTTAAGCTGTTCAGTATGTGGATTGTCATTATTAATGTTTTTGCAGTCAGAGAGTGCACTTCACAAAAAGCACCTATGACAACAAGATCATTAAAAGAGCACATTCTTTTATTAACAAACACCTATTTACATGAACACAAAGCACAGTTCTGGATAAATAGGATTACACAATCAGGTCACATGAGGTTGGGGCATCACAGGACACAAAATAGAAGAGAGAAAATACAAAAAAAGGATGTTTTCCACTTTCTATACAAAGAAACAGAATTATCTACAAACTGGTGGAATCTTTTTCAGTGGAGACTAGCACATACATACACAACCGTAACAGGTTTGAACTAATTCCAGTTGCTGGGGATTTAGTAAGGGGCTGTATTGCACTGAGAGGAAGACTAGTTTTTACACAACAATTTTAGTAGCATTTACTACTAATACTGATTATGTTACAATATGAGGTGCTTTGCATTTTAACTAATCCACACACCAGTTAGCCTAGCAGGAGTGTGAAAACTTTCAAATTATAAAAGACAATAATGACATATAAATTATTGCATCTTGCCAATAGAGAGGTGACCAATCAAATCAATGGTTCACGCATCATCAGTCTGAAATTAGCCAGCAGAAGTCAGATGATTTTCAGAATCATAGAAGTTTGTGGACTTTCTATCTGGCAGTGAAGAACATCTAATATCACAGAGGAACCTGAAACACAGCGGGATATTTTTAGGTGCTGACAACAGACAAAACAGTACAAAAAG